GATTACTCATTGAGTACATTACTGTTCATTAATATAGGAAGGTTTGAATTATTGGGTAACGATTGGCTGAAAAATATTTTTAATCTGAATTAAAGTTCACCAACCACTGTAAGCCCCACGCAGTAGCAGAAATGAGATCCTTTTCAAGCTCAAATGCCCCTCTAAGCAATCAGAGAATGTTGGCTTCTTACCTTTGAATAATTTTTTTTGAAAATATCAAATTCCTGATATTTTCAAAAAAAATTATTCAAAGGTATCCCTTACGGAAATATTCCATGGAAAACCCATGGAATTCCATGGAAAACCCATGGAATTCCATGAGTAAACCATGGTTTTCCCATGGAAAACGGGAATTCGATGGAATTTCCATGGGTAAATTTCATAAAAATTGAAATCCTATGGAATTTCCATGGGTGAACCATGTTTTTTTTTCATAGCTTAAGCTGCGCCATGGTTGTTACAAATGCGCTTTTAAAGATGGCGTCATAGCTCGTAGAGTTATGATTATTTTTAACTTTAGAAAACAATACTTACTGCATTCTTCTGTTTTTCTGTGTTTAATAAGGCTATGAATTATATGTTTTTTATAATGCATTACATTTATATGATTTAAACTAAACATACAGACATAAACAACTAGATATATTTATCATATTATAATGCATTATAAAATGGATTATTTTTAATTAAATTTTAATTATATATCATTTATGCATATACTTATTTTAACTGTTTCCAGTAGCTTTGCTTACTTTGCATAAATTGCAATAGTATAGCAAGTATGTCAAGTAAACCAGTTTGCATTTTAATGCCTACTTGGCAAATTATTTGCCAAATAATTATTATTTGGTTTACAACAAATAAATGTTTAGTTTTAATCTACATTAAATAACTAGTGTATTAATGTAAATAGTGTAATTTAATGTACATTCAAACTAGTATAATTATTATTATAAAACTTATCAAACGTATTAAAGAAACTTATCTAAAATATTAATATACAAGCAGTATATTAGATAAGATTAGATAACTAAGATAATAAGATTAGATAACTAATGTACAAAAGATAACTAGTATGATCTTTTTTATTTTTTTTTTTATAATAGCCTTAGATTACATAAAAATGCTTGAAGTTTATTGTATCGTAAATGTTCATTAAGTATTAAAAAACATTTTTTTATGATAAATGTTCTATTCAATTTTAGTTCTGTTAAGTTGTTTTTGTCTTTTTGTTGTAGTTTTTTCTTTAGAATTATTAGAATATGTAAATAATGTAATATAAATAGTGTTTATAAATTCTTTTATATTTACTTTATTATTTTATTTAAATTACTACATTATAAGCCAACAGGTTTGACTGGCAATATAAATAATGTTGTTCATCGTTTATATTGTTTATAACATTGTCAGTTTTTATATGCATTTAATATTTTTAAAAATAGTTCAAAAGCTGTCAAAATAAAATGGTGAATTGAGTTTAATCCAGAAAAGATATAAACGTAATCTTTGGGATTCAACTTGTATGGATGTTCCAAGAACCACTTAGTTGGAGAAGGAAAACTGTGGTAATATTTTATAAGTATCAGTAAGGGAATTTACTTAATGCACAAGATTTTACTTCATAGTTAAATATAAGCATATAAAAGCAATGTTTATAAATAATACACTATTATTTATTATAATACAATTATTTTTATTTGTTTATATTTAACTGATGTAAAGTGCTCGTCTTTAGTTAAAATAAATTAATTTATGCACACACTTTGATATTTACTATGCTTTTACATTACTATACTTTATAAATTACATATTTGTTATGTTTTAAATAGTAAAGTAAAAATATAATAAAATTTTGAATTTAATGGTATGTGCGTAAGTTCTTTTATTTTAACTTTATCATTTTATTTAAATTACTGCATTATAAGCAGGTAAGTTTGACTGACAATATAAATAATGTTGTACATCATGCAGACAGCTCAGAAAAAGAAGTAAGTTTTTACTTAAAATTACAATTTATAAGTTATACTATATTTGTTGCTGCCTTATTCTATATAAATGTTACTAACATGCAGGTAAAATTTATATATGTGTATAAATCTTTTCATTTTAACCTTATCATTTCATTTAAATATAAATTTTTAATTTATTTATTTAGCCGTTCATTAACAAGTCCTGTGCTTTATAATATATTAAAAAATGGAAGGACGTGAAGAAAACAGGTTTGTAAATGATGTTGTACATCATGCAGATAGCTTAGAAGAAGAAGTAAGTTTTTTTTTTAATTACAAAAGTAAATATATAATATAATATTTGTTGCTGCCTTGTTCTATATAAATGTTTCTAACATGCAGGTAACATTTATATATGTATTAGTTTGAATAAATCATTTTAATAAAGTTACGTTATAGGCAGGAATGTTTGACTGGAAATATAAACGATGTTGTACATAATGCAGATAGCTTAGGCAAAAAAGAGGTAACAATCTAATAATTTGTATTTATAAATAATGATATATTCATTGCTACTTTTTTCTATATGTTACCTAACATTTGGCAACATTCATAATTGTGTATAATGCCTAATTATAAAGTAAGTTATAATAGATAATAATTATAAGTAAAATGAATTAGTAAATAAAGAAAACTAGTTAGAATGTATATAATAGTTGTATGATGTATTGTCTAGATTGGTGAAATGGAGAATGAGACTAACTAGGGTGAAAAAAAATGAATATTAATATGTGAATGGTACTTTGTTTAACATCTACCTGTTTCTACAGATACAGTACAGACGCATTTATAAATGGGCTTGATGTTTTTTTGAATTAAATGTTGTATTGATGGTTCTTTTTAACTTGTTAAAACTTGAAGTTATTATCAAATTTATATATACTATTTTTATCAAATAGTTAATATAAAATAATAAACATGTAAATTGTTTTATTTTCTGTAAAAATTGTTTTCTTGATAAATTTCAATTGTTTATCACTATGTATATCACTTATAGTATTATATTACTTGTAATTTTTTGTTTTATTTATTTTCAGTATGTTATACATATGCGTGCATTAAATATTGTGGGGAAGTCAAGTTTTGATGTTTTAGGTGCATTATAGCTATTATTTTTCAAAGATTTGTAGGATTTAACAAGATTTAAATTTTATTTTGTTTATTGATTTTATTTGGAGAAAGCGATCTCATAGATTAAGAGAACTCAATAATAGTGGGATAAAATTTGCTTTTATGATTTAATATGACAATTCAAATAACATTAGATAAAAAAACTTGAAAACAAATCATGCTTTTTTACCATGAAAAATCCATAAGTTTTCCTTGGAAAGGTGTTCCTAATACCTATGGAAATTCCATGGTTTTTCCATGGATGGAAAATCATTGAATATCCATGGTATTTGGAACACTTTTCCATGAAAAACTTAAAGATTTTTCATGGGAAATTCATGTGTTTCCCATGAAAACTCATGGTTTTTCCATGGAAAACTCATGGTTTTTCCATGGAAAACTCATGGTTTTTCCATGAAAAACTCATGGTTTTTCCATGGAAAACTCATGTTTTTTCCATGGAAAACTCATGGTTTTTCCATGGAAAACTCATGGCTTTTTCATGGGAACTTGTTCCAAATACCCATGGTTTTTCCATGGGTTTTTTTTCTAAAATTCCCATGGGAAATTTTCGTACGGGATGTCAACCTGGGTCTCATAAGAAGTGTATATTCATAGAAACTTTAAAAATAATATTTATTTGCAATAAAAAATATGCTTTTTGTATTATTGCTGAGAAATATTGTGTTAAATTTTTTTTAAGAGCCTTTAGCATTTTTTCACATAACTTTTATGTCAATAAATTTTAAGAAAAAATATTTCCTTTTGAAAATCTCTATAAAAATATGCTTCTTTTAAGACCCAGGTTGACATACTTTTGGAAAAATTATTTTTTGACATTATTAGGAATTTTACCTAAAATACTAAAAATTTGAACACAAATATCTTTGCAACTTGATGTGTCTTTTGAGTACCAGGTTGACATACTTTTGAAAAACTTTTTTTTTCAAAAATTAGGGAACTGTCAAATATTTAAGTTCTTGAGGCACCCCTAAAAATATGTTTTATTCAAAAAAATTTTAAACTTAGTGTTTTTGTATTATATAGAACACATTTAGTTAAGAGCAGGAGACTATTTTTAAAAAAGTTGTTTTTTCCATCACCCTAATATATATATATATATATATATATATATATATATATATATATATATATATATATATATATATATATATATATATATATATATACACACAGCACATTTTTATCATTTATATATAAATGTTAAAAACTGGACCACTAAATTCAAAAAATGTAAACCGTTTTAATAAATTAAAACGTTGCAGTTAGTTACAAATTTAAATTTATAGTTTAGTATTTATATTATTTTTTGTCGGATGGTTTTTATAAAATTCAAACAAATATTTTAGCTTTTAAAACCCCTTTTAAATTTATTTTATAAAAATTTTAACATAATAGTTATTTTAATGCTTATAGAAACCAGTACTTTTTATTACACTTTTAAATTTGAGTTGTTACATAACGTTTGTTTTTGTGCTAAAAATTTTCGCTGTTAAAAGTGCTTATAAAATTAATCCTAGAAAAAGTTTGAAAGGATTTCTAAAAGTATATATATTTATATAAATGTAATTTTGTATAATATTTTTTGATAATTTAAATAAAATATGTTTATTTAAATTACCTCCAAAATACGAGTTTGAGCTAAGTTGAGCTCAATACTGTCAGGAACGTGGTGGAGAAAGAGCTCCGAATTTCTTGCAGTGAGAATGAGGCAAGTGCTCTACAATTACACCAATACCACATTTGGCCTAATTCAGTCTCTTAATAAATCCAAAAACAGCTAATAATTATAATTCAATATTAATTACTTATGTAATTATTCGATATTTTAAAAAATAAAAAATACTATTGATAACTAACCTATTAAAGTAACAAAAGTGTAGCATATCCAAATGGCCAATTTTTCTTCATATGAAAAGGTAACACGTTGTTGGACAGTACTTGCATTAGTGTAATTCTCAAACGCAAATGATACATTTTGCATTATGAATTAGTCTTTTTAGTTATATTATTTATAAATATTTTATTTTCCGCATATAAAACAAAAAACAAAATTTAAAAGATAAAGTTATCAAACCCAGTAAAAAAGATTGCAATACTTTGAAAGTATTGTATTCTTTGTAAAAGAATACAATAATACTTTCATATATATATATATATATATATATATATATATATATATATATATATATATATATATATATATATATATATATATATATATATATATATATATATATATATATATATATATATATATATATTCTTATCTCATAGTCGAAAGAGAATTTTATGGTAAAAAAAGTCTCTTTTAACAACAATTTCACAACTTCGACAACAACAATATTTAGTATTTGTACTTAAAATGCTTTAGATTAGTATTTTGTAACTTGTACTAATTGAAAATACCTGTAATTCAAATACCGCTTAAAATATTCACAACACCGCAAAACAACTAAACTAACTGTTATGTCATAGTGTAACTCTAATACTATTTATTTTGAATTATTTATTATTTTATTCTACCATGGTTAATCTACCATGGTTTATCAACCTTAGTTTCATTAGGGTAATATTCAAAATATTTTGCAAGAATCAACAATTTTAATTTGAAGATGGCTGCAGTAAACCGCGAGTGTACCAGCCATTGTAGAAAGTACCTTTTTCAAAATCATAGCCAGATCAAAAAAAGTAATAAAATATTTAATGTTACATTAAAGGCAAGACAATACAAGTTAATATAAATCGAAATACACAATACTGACTTAGTTAAAGCAAAGTAAAAACTTATTTTTTAAATGGATTTATGTTTACTTTATAGAACTTGCACAAAAATCGCTTAGGAGAATATAAGGCATATAAGGCAAATGTTCAGAGAAAACATAAGCTAGGCAAGGCTTGTGTAGGAAGAACGACTGATGAAGGCCTTACTAATAAGAAGTTCAAACAAATTACTTACTACGAAACAGCGTCAGGTTTTTCACCACGACGTTGTATTTTAATGCAAGAAGCTGACAACTTAATTACAGATTATATTACTGAAGAGATGCATCCTTTGGCTAAAGTTGAAAAACCGAGTTTTTGTCGACTGCTTCCTGGGTTCAATCCTAGCTCGTCAGCCGAGAACCATAAGGCCGTATGTCCACATTTTGTGTTTTTTCTGTTTATTATCAATAAATATTCAACAACCAATGGAGTGTCCAATAAAACCTATTTTTAAGAATGACATAACTTTTAAAAAGATTTGAAAAAATAATCAGACATTCTGGCAGAAAGCCTTTACAAATTAAATTTTAAAACTTGATTTTCTCGGAAACATAAAAACTGGACATACGGCCTTTTGGTTCTCGGCTGACAAACTGTCACCAAATCATCAAACTTTGACAATTTGACAATGAGTCAAATTTTGGAAAAGCATTCAGAATTTTTCATTTCTTAGCCATCTCATGAAACATGTATCAGCTATTCACTTAATTTTATTTGCAACTAATGATGCTTAGAAGGCATGTGATACAGACAGTACAATTAAGCATACCTACAGTGCAGGCCTGGCACTTCAATATGGAATGAAACTCAACAAAGTAGTAAAGCATCAGATGTTGAGTCAAATATTACAGACAAAGCAATACTCTGACCCATGGCAACACATTGGAATTCTCAATACAATACTATCAAGCGACTACTCAAATTATGTGACAAACTTAATGATATATGCAATGCTTTGAATGCACCAAATTTTAAAAAACAGAATTATAATGCCTGCAAGAATATGCCTAGGTTATGAAACCTGTTGCTACAACATTGAATACTTTGCAAGGTAATAATGTGTATTATGGCCATGTGTTTCCACATTTGCATAGCTTTCAGGTGAAATTGGAAACATTTCAAAGTTGCCAGTTAAAACATGCTAAATTTTTGGTGCAGAATGAAAATTTATTTTGAAAATGAATTTTCATGCTTGCTAACAATTCATGCTAGCTTATAATCCTCCCACTGTTCAAGTTAAGGTTCACGGGGGATGCCAACAAATAAACAAGCAATCTGCAGAGAAATATTTGAAAATGCAATACTAGCTGCCTGTGAACCGTTGACAGTGACCAATCTCTATGTGAACACTGACAGCACAATTAAAAATTTTGTTGTATATAATAATGACACTCCAAATGCTGGTGCAGCAAATAGCGTTCAGCAAAAATGCATGTTGTATCTGAATGATAAAGATACAAGTTTGAATGCTCTGAGTAAGTATAAAACTATTCAGTCACTGTTTTTTAAATTCAATACCACTGTACCATTATCAGTTCCTTTCTTTTATTAAAGTTTTTTTAATAAAGTCTTTTTATTAAAAAAGTTGAAGCTAATAAAACGTTAGAACTATAACGGAAAAAATTATATATATATATATATATATATATATATATATATATATATATATAATATATATATATATATATATAATATATATATATATATACATATATATCTTATACTGCTAAGTTAGGTGAGCATGATGATGTCATTCACCTAATGTCAAATAGCCTGCTGCCGGGGGCTTCAGTACATACATCGACTGACAAATAGCCTGACTCGCCGTGGAGTGCTGCTACATCGACTGAGGGTTTGGTATGTAATATAAGTTTTAACAAACAATATATATAAAAAATAATAAACAGTAGAATTCTGTTAACTCTGACTCTGAAGTGATTTAAAGTTTGAATTTTTGAAAAACTTATATATATATATATATATATATATATATATATATATATATATATATATATATATATATATATATATATATATATATAAAGTTTTAATAGATAAACGGCGCTCAGCAAGATGTGAAAATTTTATCATTCAGATACAACAGCAATGCATGCAACATGCATTATGTTGTATCTGAATGATAAAATTTTCACATCAAAATCTTATCAAAAAACTGGGTTATTTAATATTCTTTTAAAAAAATGGATAATTCAATTAATATAAGTAATACTAAAGCTACATTTTATTTCCTAGACAAAACTGTCTTGGAATAAAATTGATGATAAAAACAAAAATACTTGGCCATGCAGGTCTAAATTTTTATAAGCTTCCTACTTTTGCAAAAACCAGCAAACAAAACAAACGAATTTAGAAACCAAAAGTAATAATGAACCGATGTTCATGTCAATAATATAAAATTGACTACAAATTCTTTAATCGATGTTAGAATTCAAGACAAATACGTATTTTACTAAACACTTAATAAATCTAGGTACCTCAATAAAGCAAAAAATTTAACTTAATGTTAAACAAAACTAAAAAATATACATTAATAGTAAATAAACAAATGTAAAAAAAAAAACATATCCTTAGACCACTTTAATGCTTTATGTCACGAGGACATAAGACACGTGAAAATCGTAGTAAACTTAGTTAGAAAAACTTGCAATAGACCTTTTCATAAATATCTGCGACGGAGAAAGGAGATTCTTCAAAACGAGGCAGTGTTTGTAACAATCAAAACAAACATTGCGTTTACCTATAATTTTGTAGGGTTTAGATGACAAGTGGTGGTGTTTTCTCTATATAGTTTTACAAATTTTATTTGTAATTACTATATTATTATTTTTATAATAGCTGTATCAAAAATAAATAAACTATGGAGATACCTTCATTCCAAAAGCCGTCAAAATCTACAGTTTGTTCAAAACAAACTAAAAAATGCGTTGATGAAGAACGTTTTTTTGGTAAGCATATTTGTCTATATGTATATATATATATATATATATATATATATATATATATATATATATATATATATATATATATATATATATATATATATATATATATATATATATTTATGTATGTATAAATTGTTTATTTATATAAATGATTTATACAAATATACAATAATAAATGTATATATATATATATATATATATATATATATATATATATATATATATATATATATATATATATGTATATATATATATGTATATATATATATATATATATATATGTATATATATATATATATATATATGTATATATATATATGTATATATATATTTATATATATATATTTATATATATATATTATATATATAATATAATATATAATATATAATATATATATATATATATATATATATATATATATATATATATATATATATATATATACATATATAAATATTTATTAGTTGTATATTTATTAATTGTATATTTATATAAATGATTTATATAAATATACAATTAATAAATACATATATATATATATATATATATATATAAATATATATATATATATATATATATATATATATATATATATATATATATATATATATATATATATATATGTATATATATATATATATGTATATATATATATATGTATATATATATTTATATATATATATTTATATATATATATTATATATATAATATAATATGGAATATATATATATATATATATATATATATATATATATATATATATATATATATGTATATATAATTATGTATATATATATGTATATATATATATATATATATATATATATATATATATATATATATATATATATATATATATATATATATTATATATATATACATATATAAATATTTATTAGTTGTATATTTATTAATTGTATATTTATATAAATGATTTATATAAATATACAATTAATAAATACATATATATATATATATATATATATATATATATATATATATATATATATATATATATATATATATATATATATATATATATATATATACAGGGGCTATTCTAGACCGTTTTCGACAGTGTCAACTGTATTTGGGCGCTGCCTAAATTAAAATTTGATGACCTTTTTTTTCTTTCTTTTTTCTTTTTTTTTTATGACAAATATCGCAAAAAAAACGCCAATTTTCCACTAAAGTCTGTTGAAATAGTGGGGGGGGGGGGGCGGGTACCGCCGCCCCACCATTTCAACAGACTATATATATATCAATTTTATATTTTAAAATTGATATATATATAGTCAATATATATATAATTATATTTATGTATATATATATATATATCAATTTTATATTTTAGTTTTAACTAATCTTAATATGGCCATATAATTTTTACTTCTTTACTAGACTTGGAGGAAGTTACGATAACACCAGACGATGTTGATGATCCAGCAGTCCATGTTCAACTTAAAGACTTATCCACTTACAAAATTGGACATTTAAAACAATGGCTATTATATCGTGGAGATACATTGCAAAGTATTAATACTCTCAAAGATGCACAATTAAGGTATGACTTTTTGAAAAAACAATCAGGGTATGGCTTTAATAGATAAATTTTTACTTTTACTGTTATATCTGTTCTTTTTATTCTGTTATATATATATTTAAAAAAATTTCACATTGCTGAATAAAAATTCTGAACAATTTTATTTTTATCTTTTAAAATAGTTCTCTTTTAAGTTCTATTTATTGATTCTTGAATAAATAATGCTTATATATATATATATATATATATATATATATATATATATATATATATATATATATATATATATATATATATATATATATATATATATATATATATATTCATTTCATATCAGTTTGAAATTTGCTTTAACATAATAATCAATATAAGCATATTTAAAATATAAAAAATTTTTTAGGGTATTGAGCTATATTAATTTGGGTACATCAGAAATAATTGTCGATCCTACACCTGAAAAGAAATGGCTTTTACAAAAAGCAGAAAAATTAAAATTAAGAATCAAACCATTTAATGATGTAAGCGCTTGTGATATCAGTTGTCCTGAACTATTTCAACTAGACCTACTTAATTTAAATCAATCAGACGGTTGGAGCAAAAGTCTTAAAGATAAACCAATTTTTACAATAAAAAATATTCTAAAATACACTGAAGATATTAACTTCAAAATAATTTCAAAAGCAAAAATTTAAAAAAAAAAATTTCAAAGAGGTGAACAGCTTATTAAAGAAAAATTTATTGATTTAAGTTCTGTATATACTAAGCAAAGTGATAATTTATTTGGTGTAAAAGGCATTTGTGCTGGCAGCTTAAAAAAAATAGATAGATGGTCTATAACAATTTTAAACAAGTTAACTGCAGATATTATATTTAGTTTCTGTCAATGTCCAGCTGGAAAGTTAGGTACATGCTCCCATTCCTATGCACTCATGAAGCTTTTAGCAAAATGGGTGGTAGAGCAAATCGATAAGGTACCAGAAGAAAAAGCTTGCACATCTTTACCATGTGTCTGGTCTGTACCACAAAGTAGAGGAAGAATAGAAAAACAAACAATAAATGAGATGCAAATTAAATCTCCACCAAGCAAAAAACTGAAGCAAGATAAAAAAAATACAACTACTGAAAATAAAGGGATTGTATCTACTTTGCATTATGCATATGAATCATCAATAGAAGAAAATAAGGAAAAAATTTCTAACTTAATAAACAAAATCTCAATTATTAACCCTAATTTACATTTTTTTGGAATAGTTAATCAGAATTACCAAAATAACATTGAAACTAAATTTGGTATGATGCCAGAAGGATCTGTACTTGCCATTCATGCACCAATAATACAACCAAACTTTAAAGTATATTCAAACCTAAGAGAGATAACAAATATGTCTATATTCAATAGTTATAAAAATCCAAGTTACCCATTTAACAACACTGATTGTAATCTTGACAAGTATATACAAAAAGTCACAGATTTAAAGGTATTAAAACTAATTGAATTACTAAAAATTAGTAGTGATGACATTAATCAAATTGAAAGATTGACACGTGATCAAGCTCGTTGTTCACTTTGGTTTGAAAAAAGAAATAACCGCTTTACAGCATCATTGTGCAATAAAATAAAAAATGTAAAGAGTGAAAAGAGACTTAAAACACTAGCAATACAATATTGTATTTCAAAAAGATAAAAATATTAAAAACAATATTGTCCAAAGGAAAATGAATCATGGTAAGTTTTACGAACCAATAGCGATTTCCAATTATGAAAAATATCTTTTGTCTGAGAATCATGTTGTGACTATTGAACCATGCGGACTAGTAATTGACAAAAATAATTTTATTCTTGGAGCAACTCCAGATGGAAAAGTTCAAGTTGATGGGCTTTTCGGAATCATAGAAGTAAAATGTAGTGAAGAATATAAAAATGTTGACCCCAAAGACATTTGTTTTATGTCTAAAAATGCATGTATTAAATACAATGAATTAACTGAATTGATCACAATAAATGAGGACCAAAGTTATTATGACCAAATACAAATGCAGCTAGCTTTAACAACTCAAACATGGTGTGACTTCATATTTTATACCAACAAAGGAATGGTTATTGATCGTGTGCAATTCAATAAAGAAAAATGGGACAAGCTAGAAAAAAAAATTCTTGATTTCTATTTCATTCACCTTCTAAAAAACCTTGTGGACCATTCAAAAGATAACATAGAAAATGCTCTATTTTTGGAAGAAATTGACATAATAATTGAGTAAAACAATATTTCAAAATAAGTCTTATTTTTAATTTATTCTTATCATTTTAAAGTAAACTATTTAACAATTTAAAAACTATTTAAAAGTAACAATTAAACTATTACCTCCCCCCCACACCACCACCACTCCCCTGGTCCTCCTTGTATACAGCTGTATACTTTCAATAATCTCTTCTGTTTTACACCAAGTCTCTTTTTTAATAAATTAGGGCTCTATTACCGGATTCTAGTTCCACTTTAAACAATATTTTTTACTATAAAAATTAAATTTTCACGCCACTTTTTTAAAAGATAAACATCTGACCAGCCTTATCAAAATGCTTCAAAATATGACTGTTCAGATTGCTAGATCATAAGGCATGTTTGCAATTCAGTTAATTTGCATATATAATATTTATTTAAGATTCTGTATGTATAAGTTTTAAATGCGTTTAGGTTTTAGTTATGAATGGAGTTAACCAATGTTGCTTGGTATTTATAAAATAAGGATAATAAATATTAAAAACATTTGTTCATTTTAATTACTTTAACATTGAAATTTTAAAAGTTCAAAATTAACTTGTCACATTTTTTTGTAGTGATGCTATGTGAGTCAAGAAAATAAAAGCTAAACTACACTTTTAGAAATGATTTCAATAGTGTAACATCTGTCAGATGTTTATCTTTTAAATCATAAACTAAAAGTACAGTTTAACGAAAAACTGCAGATATGCAGTGGCGAATAAAGATTTCATGAATCAAGCAACTAAATTTAAAGGTATTTTTTTTATTATAACTTATTACTTATCCATCTAAAATAAAACTAATAAAAATGTTGCCTTGGCTATTCTGTTCATAAATTAGACATTTATTACTTGTCTAATTCAATTAACGAAGTGCACCAACGAGAAGGTAAGCCATAGGACTTTGCACTCCACCTGTAAATTGTCATGTTGTCTAAGGTTATCCCTCCATTTCTGGATTTTTACCTTTTCTTGATAGGCAGTTAATGTAAAGTATTAGTATTGTTGCCTAAGGTTAGCCCTCCATTTCTGGATTCTTTCCTTTTCTTGATAGGCAATTAATGTAAAGTATTAGTACTGTTGCTTTAGGTTAGCCCTCCGTTTCTGGATTCTTTCCTTTTCTTGATAGACAATTATGTAATTTTTTTTAATAGTTTTTTTATGTTTTTTTTTTAATTTTTACTAAATATAAGATAAACTTAAATATAAAAAAAATGAACTAGTATTGTCATTAAACGAAAAAGTAATTATTAAAGTAATATTAGATGAAAATCAATTGTTCTACTAAATCAGAAAATGTATTTCAAACTATTTCAACATCAGCAGTTATTTCTTGATTAATAAGATTTATTTTTTATTTTTTAAATTTTTTATTTTTTTGTATTTTTGTAGTTTTGTATTTTTTTGTATTTTTCTAAATTTTTGTCTTTCTCTCCTTTTTCTGAATTCTTCACAAAATGGCTCTAAAGACACAGGTAGTATAAAGTAATATTTGTTATGTAATAATAAAGTTGATATAAACGTTAAAAAGTTATATGTTCAAAAAGATTTAAAAAATTTCAGAACACTTTTAGTGTTCATAAGTTTTATTAAAAAAGTAAGTTATTTTTAATATATATTAATGAATTTTGATTTATGACTTTAAATTTTTTTAAATTGTTTTTAAATTACCTTACCTGTTCAATTTAAATCTTTATAATTGGATCTTGGAAATTTGACAATAAAGCAGCTACTGAAATAATTTGATTTAAAGAACCCATCATATTCATTGGGATAACATAATCAAATATATGGTAACACTTTAACCTCTGTATCATTCTCTCCACATGGATTCTTTCATTTGCAATTTGTTGACTTAAAACTGTTTCCTCAATAGTAAATTGTTCTCTACCCTTTAAAAATGATGGTAAAACAAGATTAACTCCAAGTGGTCTGAGGTATTCTGCTATTGTAAAGCCACGGTCACTCATTACACTTTCACCTGGATTCCATAATGCTTGACTTAAAAATCCACTTTTAATAACAATTTCTTTGTCAGAAATACTCCCTGGGTAGGCATTTGAAATGAATGTGAATCCTCCCCCAGGTGCGATTCCTACCAAAACTTTAACTGTTGTGTGAATTTTATAATCTGAATACATAACTTTGTGCATAAATAATTCAGATGGTGTTTCAACTTTAAACTCTACACAATCAATAATGCATTTTACAGTTGGGAACTTTTCCTTCATTGATTGCGGCATGGTCTTCCTAACTTGCTCCATACTAGGCCATATGCAGATTGATCCGAGTCTTATATACATAAAATTTATACATGTATTTACAGTATTTGAAACTGTTCCTTCTGAAATATTGTATAAAAAAGATAAATGGTGAAGATCGAAATTCCTGCGTAAACGAGTCAATGTTAAAATAAATGCATCAAGTGGCTTTAATGCTCTTGGTCGTCCGGTGGATGAACTTGTTGTTTTTTTTTTGTTGTTGTATAAAATTATGTTTCTTCCATTTTCCCCAGGATCTAAAAATTCTAAAACAGCTTTTAAAATGTTAATTGACGGAAATCCAGTATAATGATTACAATTTTCATTATTTTCCATAACGTGATCTGTGAAGCAAATGCAACGTACACCTAAAAATTCATTACATCTTTCTAAATTAACATTTAATATTTGGTTCTCTTTTTCCAATTCAATTATGCGCTTTTTTAAATCATTTCTTTCATCCTCAACTAATTTACCTTCAGCAATATCTATCGTAAAGTCTACTTCCTCAAGTGGCGCTGACAATGATGTTGATGAAAAGGAATCTGCTTTATTTATTGGCATTAAAAATGATGTTGTTGAAGAGGAATCTACTTCATTTAGTTTTGGTAACAATGGTGTTGATGTAGAAGAGTCGTCATCAACATTTTCATGTTGAGGCCTGCATACTTTTTTTAAACATTGTCTTAAACATGGTGGTTTTCTGGATATATCAGACACTGAAAAGTTATTCCACGAGTGCAATATTGGCCTTGCACCTTTTTTAAGTCTTATCCGTGTACCACCTGGAGTTCTATAAATCATTTCTTGTAAGAAATGCTTTTGACATAATCGAGTAGATTTTGTTATTTTAAAATTATCTTTATTTTCTTGTCTTTTTATTAAATTACACCAAATATTCCTTTCTCCAGTTTCAGCTGGAAATGTGAAAAAACTCATATTTGTTGGAACTCTAATACCATCTACAAAATCATAGCTATATGAAAAACATTCATAAGAAGCACATTGCAACCCAGACGATATCGCCATTTTAAAAAACCGTTTATTTGTTTTGATTGTTACAAACACTGCCTCGTTTTCGCGGAATGCTTTATGAAAAGGTCTATCACGTGGCCAAAAAATAATTCTACGCTCTCTGGTTGCTATCACAACGATATAAACGTATTTCATTTATTTACTTTGTTTATTAATTCTTTTCATAATTAAAATTAAAGGTAAAAAAAAAAGTGTATAAAACTAATAGTTTATACAATTATTCTAAAGTCTAATTTTGAATTTTATTTGGAATACATTTTTCCATCATGTTTCAAAATATGATTCTTTGTTTTCTCTGATATTCCAGAGTTAAAAGGAAGATCGATACTTTCTTCTAATGAGCAAATCCAGGTTTTGCGTTTTTTGTAAAACAAGACCTAAAATATTTAAATTTATTTTAATCGTTTATACTAATTTTCTTATTATAAATTGCGATAGATAAATAATTATTATGTATATTATATCAAATAATTATTTTTAAGATGTTTTAGCAAAATTTGTTATTACTATTATCTTATTATTATTATTATTAACTTATCACTATTATATATAGATACGTTATTATATATACAGTATTGGACAAAACATTTAAAATCAACATCGAACAATGCTAAAAAGTGTTCCTAATTTTACATATCTTAAAAACGAAGCAAACTATACTACCGCAAACAGTTCAGGAGTCTGGAGTCATAGCATGTTATGACATGAGCAATCAGCTGACAGGTGACAGCACACGGGCAGAATTTCGTTGAAAAGTGCCATTTTGCAGCGGACAAAACAAGTGCAACTTTTTTGGTTTGTTTCATTTTCTTAAGTATGGTTCGTGTCAACGTCACGGAAGTTTTTGATAATTAAAATCCAGAAGTTTCCAGAAGCATATGCTTCAAAAGTTTCCAGAAGCATATGCTTCAGTTTTATCAAAGTGTTTTATCGAAGATCATCATTACAAAAAGTGAAATACAACAAGTGTTTGATTATAACGAAACATTTGTTGTATTTCACTTTTTGTAATGATGTTAAAACGATAAAACACTTTGATAAAACTTACTTCAGTAAACTGTCTTGATAATACTGACTGATTGACTTCCATGTACTGACTGAATTACATGAAGCAATGCATTAACATTAAAAAAATAAAATTGTGGCCCATAAAGCCCTTGAAGATTTGATACAAAATGATACATTAAGTTTTTTGCGTAATCCAAGTACTTTTGTTGTTTCACTACATTTGAGTTGCTCATTAAAGATACTGCAATGCTAAAACACATGAAGTTCTGGTAGACCTCTTTTGACAAAATATTTTTCAAAATTATTTGTCCAGTGTACAACAAGAATTGTCGAAACTCAGTTGCTTTAAAACGCTTAAACTCATCAAGTGAACGTGGTTGTCGAGCAAACTCACTAGGCATTGTGCCATGATAAAAAACCAGTTTATCAGACATGTTTTTTTTTTTACTGACACGATAAGCGACAAATGCGTGGGCCTCCAAACCAATATTTTAGTTGCCGCTTCATAACACCAAGACAAACACAATGCATGTAGTCAATAACAAACTTTACACACAATATTCTTTAATCTACTAAGGGAGTCCTTCCTAATTGATGAGGTTCGCAGCATATGTTACTTTCTCCTAACGAATGATTTAAGTAAATATATTCATTAAATTGTTCATCACTTCGCATTTGACAATTAACTTCAGTGAAAACAACCCTTCCATCATATTCTCCTTCAACTAAACATCGCTCACATGAATGGTACCCTCCATGACCTTTAATATTCTTTAAAAAACAGCGTAAAGGCACATCACAAACAAATGCCTTGATTGAAACAGGTAAAATTTTTCCATTGTGTTCAATCCCACTAATTTGAAGCAATCTGTACTCAGTTAAAAACTCATTCAAATAGTCAAATAAATTATTTGGTTTCTTTTTACCACAAAATAGACATACAATAAATGGCTGTAACTCTGAAAACTTTGCTAAAATTGGCAAAAATTGTGTGTTGCTACTCTTACACAAAGGCAATCCATCGATATTTATTAGCAAATCAATTTGTTTCGCAATTTTTTGAGAATCCTTTAAAAAAAATTTTATTCCTTTTTTAATCCCAAAGTAGATACCACACACAGCCACACAGTTCTTTTATTTTTATATATTTAGGGGTTTTTAAAAGTGTTCTACAATCATATGGGAGAGAAGATACTGCACTTTTATTTAAAATACTTAACAGTTCATTGACAGCCTTTTTTGCACATCTATTACCTGTAGCCCATGTAGCTAGATCGCTAGCTATCACATCAGATTTATTAAAAGTTAAATATGAAGTTAATTGGCATGCTTTGTTGCCTACTAGAGCATTACTAATCAATGATACATCTGCATCTTGGCTACTTAAAAATGAATCTGATGCACAACCAGAGTTAATATTACCATCACAATCATCATCTGTAGGATTCAACTCCTTGTTTTCAATTTCAAAGTTATCATTCTGTTAATAAGCAAACTGTGTCGTTAATATCAAGCTCCTTCATTAGCAACTTGTTAATATCTTTGTTTTTATTTCTCCAACGTTTTAAATAAGAGTTCATTTTAGTACTAAAATAAAAATAACTTCGTAGTTCAATAACAAATTTCTAACCTGAGTTTCAACGCGTACCAATATTAGTAAAATAATTTATTCTATATTTAAATGTTCTGCAGCCGAATTTTCATCTCTCCGTTAAGTTTAACGGAACTTTTGTCTGAAATTTCATTACAATATATCTAAGTAAAAAAATGACAAAAACCTTATTTAAATTTTTAAAAATAAAACTAATACTAAAATAAAAAATTTATTTTTAAAAATTTATATTTTTAAAGAACTTTTTTATTAATGTAGTTAAAAAGAAATTTTTTACTGACGCTCCGTTAAGCTTAACGGAGAGATGAGAATACGGTCCCTGTAAAACATCGCGTGTAAACGTTAGAGCGATGTCATTTTCAATTTGAAAATCGACGTTGGATAAAACTACGAGTTTTACGTCGTAGTTTTAATTTTACCTGTTTCAATCAAGGCATTTGTTTGTGATGTGCCTTTACGCTGTTTTTTAAAGAATATTAAAGGTCATGGAGGGTACCATTCATGTGAGCGATGTTTAGTTGAAGGAGAATATGATGGAAGGGTTGTTTTTACTGAAGTTAATTGTCAAATGCAAAGTGATGAACAATTTAATGAATATATTTACTTAAATCATTCGTTAGGAGCAAGTAACATATGCTGCGAAACTCATCAATTAGGAAGGACTCCCTTAGTAGATTGAGGAATATTGTGTGTAAAGGAGTTTGCTATTGACTATATGCATTGTGTTTGTCTTGGTGTTATGACGCGGCAACTAAAATATTGGTTTGAAGGTCCACGCATTTGTCGCCTATCGATTCAATATCGCAACGCGATGTTAATTTTCGACGTCATTCTCACGTTAATGCGATGTTGATTTTACGTTAGCGATGTCGCCAACCTAAAACCAACATCGCAACGACGTGAGAATGACGTCGGTGCCCACTGGGTACATCAATACAGTCCACATCCAACCAAGACGTTGTATTTTACAGAGCATTTTTGTATCATCACAAGGTAAATGTAACAAGATAATCCTTGAGAAGCGTGATTATGTATTTTTATTATTTTTATGACTTCAAGTGCAAAAATGGCTCCCGACAGTCTTGGATTGGAACTAAGAAATAAAATTATTGGCGATTACGTAGATGGAATGCTACAAAAAAGTATTCGAGATAAACATCGCGTGAAAAAATGGTGGATTGGCCGCCTCAATCTCTAGATCTCAACCCTATCGAGAACCTGTAGGAGATCGTCAACCGCAGAATTAATCGTGAAGATGTTTGTAATTAGGATCAACTGTTTGAACAAATCCAAAAGGTCTGGGTAGGAATTTCACTAAATTTCATTGATCACCTGATCGAATCTATGCCTTGAAGCTGCAAGGCTGTGATCGACGACATAGGATTCGCCACGAAATATTGATAACGAAATACAGCTTGGTCAGCATTTTGTGAAGTTGCATTTGTTTTGTTCAGAAGGAAATCAACTTTTTTTAATACTTTTGATAAATTTATTAATTTTCGTGTACAAATAATGAACTTTGTGATGAATAAAACTTGAAGAACGTTGTCTCTAAACAGTTACATAGTTATTTGTCTAAATTGAAAAAATGCAGCACTTTTATATAAAGAAACTGAATTAGCATTATTTGGTTGCACTTGTTTTGTCCGATATTGTACGTTATATAGATTCAATGAGTTTTACAGTACCCATAGCATTAAAAGATTTAGTACTACATGCTAAGTTAGTCATGCATGTTGTAAAGGTTTATATTTTTATTAAACAATTTAGTAAACAAATTTAAGTAATAGTTCAAAGTTATATGAAGTTTTAGTATTTTATGTTTATTTAAGGTGCAATGCTTTATTTTTCAAAGAAACGGTAAAAAAAACATTATAGTAATTTATTTTCCTTATTTTGAATTTTTTTTACTCTTAATAAAAACGTTTTTTAAATATTGAATTAGATTCAAACCTTTCGTGGTACGTTTATTAATCTACTAATATAATAGTCATAAACATAGCTTTAGTTTACATGATCATTATGGTTATAACTTTCTTGTGGTAACTGTGGTAACGATTCAAAGTCGTAGTATTGCATTTTTGTAGTAGCAAATATATTTAGATTTATTTTTTGATTGATTTATTTTTTGACGGCTCAAATTGCCGTT